TTTCTATTTAACAAATAGAATTCACAAAATAGGATGAAGACTTTCATCACTTCAGTGCCAAAGGGAGATACGCAGAAATGCACGATGAACTGCTTGTTGAGGGGTCGAGTGCGTGCACAACACTCTGAGATGAGAGGCACTGAAGTCTGTCTGACTATTTTTTATGTATTTTAATTATTATATTATTATATTTAATTAATATATTATTAAAGAATTAAATCTATAAAATAAAACAACAATAACACAACACAATCAAATTAAATGACAATCAAATGAGAGCAAATTGTGAGCGTATTTCAAAATGTGTTGGATTCTTACCTTTTGGTTTCTTGTTTTTGAGATTTTGATAAGCCCACCGTTTCTGTTTCTTATCGTCTTGCTTGTTCAGTGTGATGTATGTGACTGTTTTGACTGCCTTCTTCTGTAAAGGGGTGTTGTGTTTTGTTGCAACATTTTCAAACATCTCCAAGTTGATCACCATGCTTGTTGATGACTGTTTTGACATCAGTTCATTTTTATACAACGTGACACGTCAACACAATCCATTTGTCAAGACTCAATCCAAACTTTGAGTCTTGACAATTGGAATAAATACAACAATAAACCATTTGAAACATAACATACATTTATAATATTGTCAACAAAAAATAAAAAATGAAAAGGAAGTGAATTGATTACTGCACCATTTTGAGAATCTCTTCAAGTACTTCAGAGCTGCCAGGCGCCTTTTTCACGACTTTCTGGTTTTGGAAAAAGACAAATGTGGGAAGTGATGCAATCGAGTATTCAGCAGCATAATCAGTTGCTGTAGTTGCATCTACTTTGAAGAACTTGAGGTTTGTGTGTTCGTCAGCAAGTTTATCCATCATTGGCGCACTTGCCTTGCACTTTGCACACTCAGGAGAGTAGAAGATGACAAGAACGTTCTTGTTGTTTTCAATTGTTTGTTTCACTTCTGCAACATTGGTTGTGTATGTCACTGGCATGTCTTGATGTTAAGTTGTGTGGTTTGGTTATTTAAATACACACCAATTGTTTCAATACACAGTTACCAATGACCAGATGTTGTAATAACTCTATCGCAATTTATAACT